GTGAGTGGATGTGTTGGTTTTGCACTCTTGATGTTTTAGAGTTTCACCCTGTCATTGCTGTGTACTTTTTTCATTGTGTCAGATTTGTAGATTGTACACACAAACATTCTCAGAATTTTTGTGTTTTTGTCGATTTCCCATTCATTTCCTATGGTCGGTCATTTTTGACCGAAGACCACAAGTGTGACTATTTTTTTTACGACCACTTACTCTGTTCGAACAGGGGCGCCGCCATCAATTTTGGGCTCTATGAAAGAATATGAGGTTGGGCCCCCTACCGTACCAAACATACACTATATTGCCCAAAGTACCTTTGAGATCGTTTTGACAGACATGTTTATTGTGTATTATTTTCAACGTGTTTATTGCTAAGTTTAGTGTGGCAAACGGTGGCAAAATAATTAAATAATAATTCACGTGCAGTGTATCTGGTTGCCATGACAACCTCACGCGCTTCCTGCTGCTGCTCTACGTAATCAAAGTATGAATTTGTAGATTTTCTATAGCAAAACTAAAATGTGTTTAAAAGTGCGACTGACCAAATCGTCTGGCTAGGTTTGGCCCCCCCGAAGACATCTCTAATTTGACAGTTTACCATCTGATCTCACTCTAGGCTACGTAGGATGGGACGAAACCATGCAGTGAATGGGGGGAGATACTTTTGCTGGAAATGCAGAAATAAGCTGTAATTATCTTTTATTTGTAACTCTTTGGTAGATACATTTATAATTTCTATTACATTATTACTACTACTGTTACTACTAATAAAACAGATCTCTGGGGGCCCCAAAAGTGCGTGGGCCCTTAGAATCGTCCTAACTTCTCCCCTCCCTTAGCGGCGCCCCTGTGTTCGAATCATGCCCTCAATTTTTTTTGTGTGTTCACATTCCAAATGCCATAAAAGTCACCAAGTTTCGTACCATTCCGATGAAGCTGTGATTTTTAAAGATTCAAAACAGAAACTTTTTCGGTCAAAAGTGACCGAAGAGCACCAGAAGTGTAACAATAGAATACAGAAAAAAGTAATTTTACTTATTTTTTGTACAATGAGCAAATAAACATTATGCATATAATATAAACAAGGAAAATTTTCCAACCCTACTCCTGGAGATCTACTGTCCTGCAGACAGACTTCAGTTCCAGCTGCTCCAACACACCTACCTGTAATTTTCAAGTAACCCTGAACACCTTGATTAGCTGCTTTAGGTGTGATTGGTGCTTGATTGGGGTTTCAATTGTAGTCCATTACTGATACATGATGAAAACTGTAGTTATTATAACGTAATCTGATTTACTCATTTTAGGTAATGTATTCTGACTATTTATCTACATTGTTTTAAACTTGCCATTAAACGTACCATATTGATATAAATAGCAAAGAGAAAGAATATATA